GGAACTTGATAGGAACTTTCCATTGATAGCCACAGTGGTTAATAAGGAACAAATTAGGAGGTGAAGTCATTTCTTGAGTTTGTCAATTTTTGCTTGTATTTTCAACCAAGGATTTTCTGGAATATCACCATAACACTGACAAACTCTCATCTTAAATTTTTTTCAGCCAACTCAGTAGTTTTCATGTTAGTGCCTGTTTGTTTCATTGACAATATCTAGCTTCAGCAGTAGTAAACCTGGAGGCTTTTTAACCTGTTTTATTTATATTAGCACTTTGTGACTGTGGGAAAAGATTAAGACCCCTAGAGCAGAGACCAGTTTATTAAAAAAAGCTAATATTTGTAGACTCATAGTGACTGGTAAAAGCAGCCTGGCTACTAAATTACGGATTATAAATTACAAATACCATATTATAGGTATGTGTAGTTGAATTTCCTGATTGCCAGATTACTTACTATCCCTACTGTGCTGTCAGCTTTGTTGAATGCTTTGTTGAATGCTTTTTCTAGAGATAATTCGTAAGGCTAGCACAATTCTCATCTGAAAGTTTACCTTCCCTTCACATTCTCAAAGGTCATTGTTGGTACCCAGGTATCTAACTCAGTGACTTGTTCAGAATCATTACACTGAATTAGAATCAATGACGCGTGTACACTCCTAAATCATAGCACATTAGTTTCGTCCTCTATTTCTGCCTACCTTTTCCTTCCCCTTTCGCTAGCCTTGAGCTATCAAAATGGTCTTGAGGTGAAATAAAGACTTTAACATTTGCATTTAACACTGTGCGTGCACGTACTTAGAAAATGTGAATCTGTGTTTCACTTACTCAGTTTTTCCGTAAATCTAAGATTATCCTAAAAAACAGTTTTAATTTAAATATATTTAAAGGACAGTAAGTAGAAACTCACATTTTTTGAAAGTTTTGTTCATTATAAAAATATATTTACAAAGGCTGAGGATTTAGGTCAGTGGCATCATGCCTGCCTCACAAGTGCAAGGTCGTGAATTTGATCCTTGGTACCACCAAAAAAAAAGAAAAAGAAAAACCCCCAAATTCATATATATATATATCTCAAACATACACGTATATATATTTATTTACAAAAAAGGTACATTATTTACAAAAAAAGGAACATTCATACTGTATCACTTATCATTTTATAGCATTTAGTGTATTTACTTTCACAATTTTAAGGGATTCTGTTTATAACATTTAAAAAATCTGGCTATTAAACATTATTTGATGCTAAAATATCAATATTTCCATCATAATGTATAAAGGTAGCTTAAATGCCACTGAGTTTTTCTTAAAGCATTATACTGATAAGATTTGTATTAAAAAAGAAAATATTTACTTGTGTACTTTTTCTTCTCTAGTTAGGTTGATGGGTGGTTTTGTTAGACATAGGAATGGCTAACCTGCCTCACACATTTAGTGTTTACTGTATAACAGTCTTTGACTTTAAAATCAACATCAAAATATTAAAACTATTATTTTGTATATAATTTTGTATGATTTCAAAAATATTTTTGGTAGGTGTTTTAAGTATTTGAAATTTGAAATTTATTTTTTAAGTAAATGAAATAGAGTCACATAATTTCTATTTAAAGAAAGCAGAAGCCTGAACATGGTATATATTACATAGTGAAGTGTGGTACTTCTGAGATACTCAGTTTTAGAAGAGAAATCATTGTAACTCAAGCATGTACTGCAATTAAATGTTTTTTGTTTTATTCATTTATTTTTCAGCAAGATTTATTTTTGCAATTTCTGACTCACTTTCCAATGCAGTATGTTAATATTGTTAACTGTCCAAGATTATTATATATATTAATGATTACATTAATCATTTTGAAGGAATGAGAATCTAGTTCTGGTTCTTTTCCTGGACAGGTAAATGACTTTGAAGTAATTTTCTCTATGAAGTTGTGTTTAACTTTATTTTTTCTACACATTTCCTAACTTTTATAACTCGGAGATTCCAAAACAACATATAATTCTGGAAGGAAACCTGGAATCTGTAATCTCAGTATTCATTTGAAATTTGAGTTATCTGCCCAGCATCAATGGGGACACAAGCAGTGGGGGAACAAGCTTCTGCCGAAGGTGGACCCATAAACCTTTCCATGTTAAGGCAGCTTTGGTTAAAATTGGCAATTTCTCTTCCCAAGTAAGCACACATGGCTTTACTTAAAAATTTCGGTGCTTGGAATCATACGAAACAATTATAGCACAACTTCTAGTCTATATTTTCTGATTTTTCTTTCATTCTTTTCTAAATTAAGCATTCTTCAGTGTTTTTAACAAGGTTTTGATTTATATTGGTTTTGTATTGCTTTGGATGCATGAAATATGTAATAATGAAATAAAATGTGAAATGAATTTAAAATAAACATTGCATACAAGTTGGAGAGTTGATAGGTTTTGGTGTTTAGGGAATAAGTGTAAGCAGCTCATTTTTTTTTTTTTTAGCATTTGTGACTGTACCGCAGAAAACTTTTTTTGGTCTGGGAATTATAATAGTACTCATCTTAGATTATTAATATGTCCCAGACCTGGCTGTCAACTCTTTAGAAGTGTTATTTTCATTTCATTCTTATAACAGTCATATGAGATATAGGTATCTCCATGTTATACATGAGGTAACTAAGGTACAGAGACTCTTAACAATGTCAAATAAAAATTGTTCCAACTACACATTAAATTATATTATGTGAAAAGTTACATTACATAAATTGTAATGTACTAAAATATAATTTTGCCCTTCCACAAAAATAATACTCTAGTGTGTGACAAGTCACTGGCCATCATCTAAGATGCCAAAATTTATTGAGGTCTTATGTTCCAGTTACTGTGATAGTGTTTTCCCTATTTTATTTTATTTCATTTAATCCTCACAATAACCTTATAAAATAGATACTGATTTTATCCCTATTTTGTATTGAGAAAACTTAGGTGAACTGCTTGCCTGAAATCACGTAACTAAAAAGTGCTGTAGCTAGAGATTGAATTTAGGCTGTCTTGATTATAGTGCTTATACACTAATTATTAAGCATACGGACTCACCACACTACGCACTCTAATATATTTAGGACTGGGGATTTAGCTCAGTGGTTGCGACTCCTGCCTCAAAAGTGCAAGGACCCAAGTTCTATCCCTGGTACCAGGAAAGAAAAAATGATCTTCAACTAATATATTTGACTTTCTCAGGACAAAAGTAGTAAACAGTTCCAGCTTCACAGTATGGAGACTGTGTTGATGATACTTGTATGCATCAGTGAAGCCCTTTGAAAAAAGCTAATTTTCTTCTATTTTTCTTTGTAAGTAAGCTTGTTAGGTCAATATGCAAAGCCAGAACTTGATGTTTAATTTATAATACTGCAGTGTTTTATCCTGGAAAAGCAGAAGCCAACACAAGGCACACTGCTTATTCCAGTATTCCTGGAGACTTAGAGTTTAACCTGTTGTTGCACACCAGTAATCCCATCACTCTGGGAGGCTGAGACAGGAGAGTCCCAGTTTTGAATACAGATTGGGTAATTTAGTAGTTTAGAATTTAAAAAATGCAGAAAGGGCTGGAGATGGAGCTAGGTATTAAGACTGTAGGTTGAGTTGCCAGTACTAAACAAACAGACAAACAAAACTAAATTGATCTAGAGAGACTGATTGACTGACTTGGAGTTTTAATGAAATTTGGAATGGAGGAATATTAGCAATAGCTCCTTAGTTTTCTCAAAGGTAATTCTACTTGGATTTAATTGAGATTTAAAGCAGATTTCCGTGACATAATTAAAAGACATATCAAATGCAAATATAATTTTTGACTCCTTTCCATCATTTATGCCTGTAATTCGAATTAGTCGAACTTCTATTAATGACATGGTTGCTTCCTCTTGCATTATGCTATTCCAGTAGTTCTTAACCATCCAGCAAAGCACTTATCAGAATATCAGATTCAGATTGTATTCAAAAATCTTCACTTAGAGCCTGAAATACTGAGAAAAGTTAGCATGTATCACCTTATTGTTCAGCAAAATAATTCAGTTCTTTCTTTTCTCATGTTATTTATAACTGCCGTGTTTCTTTGAAAATTGTTTCTCAATATGTTCTTTTTTTTTTCTTGTGCAATTTTATTTTTGCTTTCTTTGAAAGTTATTCAGTTGGGCATAGTAGCTCTCCTCAGTAGTGCTTTGTCTATGTGCCACTTTTCACTTTCTTTTTCTCAATGGAACTTAGAAGCATTAAACACATCTCTAATTGTTAAGTATAAAAATTGAACTTTTTCTCTGCATGACTAACATGGCAATTTCACCTCATCTACACAGATGTGAAAGTCTCTTGTTTGCCAGTTGAAATGTTACTTTTAATCATTAAGCACTTAAAATTTCTCTTAAAGATTGAGAACAAAGGTTGCAAAAAATGGTGACCAAAAATTTCCAATACAGAAGATGGTGTGGGTCCAGGGATAAAAACCATTTGAAAATTCACTCCCTGAGGCTTTTGGAATGTAACCAGTCCTGTAATAGCCTGATTAAGTTTCCTGTTTGGGCTCAGTTAAATCATTTACTTTCTCAGGCATTGTTAAATGGCCACATTTGGTGAAAAAGTAGCAAACTGCTATTTTTTAAAAACCTTATTGATCAAATATATCTTTCTCTTTATAATTACAAGCCCTTTATCTTTTTATATTCTTTTTTGTTTTGGTACAGTAGATTTATTTTGGCAACCAAAAGTAATAAAAACAAAAATAATAGTAGTAGTAGCAGTAGTAATACAAGAGGAGGCAACTCAATGTTTCAAAAGGTAAAATAGTGCAGTCTTAGTCAATGACAACCTGCACAAGATCATGGCATTTAGGTTTAGGTTTTCTATCTCTTTGGACCAGATTATATGTTATTTGAATCTGCTGTGGTATAATTAGTATGTTTCATAAAACATAGTGCAGAGCTGCTGTGATCTTTAAATGTTAATGTTCTTTTCTTATCACTTTACTGTGTAGATACCCTTCATGAGACCCAACTCTGCCACTGCTCATCCTCGGAGGCAATCCTGGAAACCTCTTTTATAAGTGTGATTTTAAAAATGTGGATAAAACTCTCAATAGAGTACATAAAGTAAAGGAGAACAGCTATCTTGTCCTTTCTATAAGCTTATCACTGCAAAAAGTTGCCTTTGCTTGTCAGGTTTGGATAGAATGTAATTGATTGGATTGTTACTTAGTCTGACAGGGCAATTAATTTGCCTGTGTCGATTTTTTTTTTTCCTTTTTCTCTTTTGCACTAATCAGAAACTAGATATGTGCGTTGTTGCAAAATATTGGATGAATGTCTTGTGAGAATTGTCCTATTAAGCAAATGTTTTTCCTTCTTGCTTGTTTGGCAAATGATGATACACAGTGTTTGGACTCTGAAGAGTTATGGAAGCCTCTGGGACTTAAGTGCAATATTACATACTGTCCCTATTGTTGAACAGTCCAGTAACTAACAAGAAAGACGATGCTTTCCATTAGTCTGCTACTCTGTTTCATCCAACTTACTGCATTTATTCATATATGAAATCCTGCCACATTGGAAAACAACTATAGACTCATACTAAATGTTATTTCCATTGAAAGACTTGTGAACCATATGACATTCTCTTCTTTAACTTATTATTCCTAGTATGAAATCACTAATATTAGCATGAAATTTTCAGTTTTAAGCTTATAAATACGAATATATCTGTGTTGATCTCTGGGTATTTTTTAGAAATACCCAAATTTTAGTCATTGTTTTATTTAATATGAACTTTTTGTGCTCAGGATAATTTTATTTTTTCAACCTTAAATAAATATGAAGCTATGAAATGAGGGAGATACAAAGCTTGTTGATTATACAACCTGCCAACTGAAAGATCATCAGCATCTGTATCTTTCCAGAGGTTTGCAGAATTAAAACTTGTTCTTCAAGCTTTAATGATCCAGTTTTAAGTCAACAACAGAAACATTGAATATTCCATCACTCAGTCTTGAACTGACATAGAAGAGACTATTTGCCTCATTGAAATGCACATATACAAGTAAATTGTCAACATATCTTCCAATTTATTAATGTGATTTTGGACTTTTTTTCAGGTATAGTGGCAATTGAAAGTTGTTGAAACTTTAGGAATAGAGTAGGCAGTGTATAGATAATCAAATACAAGTATGATTATAAAGTTGCTGTATGCTAAGAATCTATAGTTATGATTGAATATTTAATAAAAGTAAAATGTGTATAATTACATATGAACAGATTAACTTACTGAAGCTCTCATAACATTGGATGAAAGATGTCAGTATCCTTTAGCAAAATCAATGTTTTTTAAGAACAAAAAAAGTGGGCCGGGGATTTGGCTCAGTGGTTCCGCCGCGTGCCTTGCAAGCACAAGGACCCGAGTTCGATCCCCAGTACCAAAAAAAAAGAACAAAAAAAATGAATTATTCATCACTAAGTTTATAAAATAATTAGTAGTTATTATAGCTGAAATCTAGATGATTTTAAGAAAAATCACACATTACTACTGTCTGAATGCACTATGCTAATATATTAGACCATGACCCTCTTTTGGTGTATGGGGAGAAAACACTAATGATTATTTGGGAGTTTTTGAGAAATCATTAGGTGTTCTGGTTTTAGTTTCATTGTTAATCAAAATCTTTTTCAACGTGATTCTAATTAGAATAGTCCATATTTATCATTTTCTGTATTACAATTTTCAGCAGTATATATGCTCTTTCATATGTGATGCAGCCATAAGGTCTTTGTCACATGTTACATTAATAAGATGGTCGATTCTGCAAAAATGTAGAACTTTTGAAGGAAGTAGAATGAAGCATTTTTTTCTGATGATCTCCGAAACGCTCCTGTATTTCTGTATTACAGAATTAAACCTAGTCCATAGATGTTCAGTTGCTATTCAAAGGAAAAGTTAATGCATGCATCAGAAAATCTCATTGAGTGTTGATATTTCAAAGACAAAGAGAAAATTACACACGAAATAATTCATGGTTATTTCCTACAGAATAGGAAAAAGAGGAACACTAAAATATTATAAAGGAAATTAAATATTTTTGAAATATAAGGAGAATGACATGGTACTCAATAGTTGTTATTTGTAGACTATCAAGCATCAGAATCACAGGAAGATTTCTTATAAAATACAATTTCAGGCCCTAGAATCCTCTATGTCCTCTCTCTCCCTGCCTTACTCCTCCCCGCTGCCTCTCTGGAGTTTCTGATTTCAGTAGGGCTTAGTTCACAGGGCATGAGTAGATGGAGATCAGTTTATTAAACAATAAAGCAGACATGTTTCAGATAGGAAAAGTTTTAATTTTCTCATGCTGTGATGTGTAGTTTTATATGAATTGTTTTGTTTCATTTTTTAAAAATTTCAATTCTAATCTTGTAATCTGGCTGCTACAGACATAACTAACTGAATTAATCCATTCTTTGTATGGCTATAAAATACAGGTTCAGATTTGAATAATTTTCCAAATAATTTTCAATTAATAAACATTTACATGTAAAGATATTTTTTAGTTCTTTTTCTAACTATTCACTCATTATTGCCTGTGATAGAAACTTGTAGTGACATTAATGAAATAGATTCATTTCCTCCATTAATCTATTTGTGAAATACAATTTAAAAGAGTGTGAAATTATCTTGTATAACAATGCTCATGTAGGTGATTTGCACTAATTGTAAATTGAAAGGAATACAAATACTGTATTTATTGGTGTGAAATGTTATTTAATATTGATAGAATGCAGAATTTTGTGCACGCTTGTATTTTAAAAGTGGTTTAACTAAAGGACCATAGTCCTTATTTATGCCATCTATTAAGATGTTTAGTTGAAACAGCTGACCGTTATTAAGTACAATAATCTGTCACTATTGGTCCATAGATTTTTGTTAAATGTTTGAACTGCTACTGATATTTTTATTTAAGAAATACATTCAAGACTAATGTTTTTTATTTTTCCTGTTAGGAATTTTTGTATAAAAATGATAAAAAAGTCAAGAATCCAATCTTACCAATTCTCTTGGTTTTTACAAAAGTGCACAGGTGTAATAGTATATCTTTTCAGACAGTTCTTTATTTTAATTTATGTATACTTTTAGGAGATCAGAATAAAGTATTTCATTGACTTAAAAATAGTTGTGAAGATCAACTTAATAAAAAAAATGTACAACCTTTTAAAGTATATACCATGGATTTTCTTCTTCCTGAAATTTAGCTTCTCATCTGGCTATAAATTATTTGTATAGGAGATGTGCTTAATTGTTTCCATTAGTTTGTAAAAAGTACTTAGTTTAGCCCCTAATAGACTTATCAATCAGAAATTAAGAGAGTGAAAGAAACTCTTTAAAACACTATTAGCCTGAATCTTAGGCACAGGAGGAAATATAAATCATTTGTTTCTTTTTTACTTGTTTGCATATTGTCAGTAGTCAGTAAACACTAAAGTGATTGCTTGTAATGTGGATCATAGCACATATAAAGAGAAATCATTTTCTTCCTTGTCTAGGATGCTCTACTTAATTATGTGCTAAGTGTTCTAAATACATACAGAACTGTGTTTATTCGGTTGCTGCCTTTTGCTAAGTGTGTAAAGGACCATATAAAGCTGCTTTATTAAGTTGTATCTATATCCAGTATAAAACCAGTGTCTAGGAAGTTATCTTTAAGAAGAATCTAAGCAGTTAGTTTTCATTTTATCTTCCAAATGGTTTTCATTTATTTTGTTTAAAATTTAAATGTTACAATGCACTATAGTGTTAATGTGCACAATGTATATTAATCTTTAAAGATACTTCTTTAAGTGTCCAGTTTGAATTTTGTTTTAAAAATTCAGTGTTTATTTAGAGGTTAGTTTTGTATTATCTTTTAATTTAAATTTTAAGACATTGCTGTCTTATTTTATAATGTGCTACTGGTATAATTGTTTTTATTAGTCACTTATTTAATAAACTATTGTGCTATATCATTATACTTTTGTGGGTCAGTGATTCTTTTTGCAAGCTTTATGAAAACATTTGTATGATTTTTTTGATGTGTGCTGCAATTAATATGTTTACAAGTGTGTTAGATATAGAGATAGTGATCATAAAATCGATCAATACCTACTTTAACTTGATTACAGTTAATGTTTCTAGGTAGTAGATGATTATACATTCATATGAAAGGTCTGTTTTGATCATCTACACTGTTGTTTGATTTTGAGGATCCTCAGTGGTATCTTTCAGGTTTCTGTGGTGTATTAATACTTCTACCATTCAGGATAGTATTATTCCAGCATAAAAAGCTATGGACTTTTTTTAGTTTAGTATTCAAGTGTAAAAACAAATTGATTTTTCCCCCATGGAAATAATTTTAGAACTCTCTAGAAGCAGCTTCATATTTGCTTTTTTTTTTTTTTGCTTATTAACAAAATGACTTCAAGCTTGTGTTATTTCTTTTTAATTTTTCTTTTGCAGGAGTTTGGGAGTTGATAGATAATTAACCATTCCATTTCTGTTTATTCTTGGAGCTGCAGTTTTTACTTATTAAAGAGTGATTCAGAGCTTCAGAGAATTTTTTTTGTCACCCTCATTTCTCTGGGTCCATGAAAAATACATGTCAAATGAATCATTCTGAAAGGTATACTTATGAAGGAGTCGATCATTAAGGATTAGATTATTTTTAGATAACATGCACTTTAAATTATCTTCTGACAGAGCTAGCATATAAAACTTTTCTTTCCCCTTTTCACTATTTCTTGACTTGAATGAAAGATAACTTGATTTTAAAAGTAATTGAAAGTAGTTACAAATTGGAATGATCAGTGTAACAAACTCGTTCTTAGTATTAGGTGGAAATTTATAACCATAAAAACAAAAATCACCAATGTAAATGAAAGTGATAATGAATTATGATTAACTTTAATATTCATCGCAGTGTTTTCCATGAGTAATATACTAGAATTAATTAATCATAATTATCACAAAGTTATAAGGTAAATAGGTAACAATTTGATTACAACTCTTCTCTTGTCAAGAGGTAGGAATATCAGCAATCTGAATGATATGGAACATAAACTGTAGTTAACAACTGACAATTGCATGACTCAGTACAAGTTATCATTTTCATGTTTTTTTTCATTGTCAGTTTTCTTCATTAATAGTTTTCATGGCTGGTTTCTGAATTCACAATAAGTTGTTGTTGGGAAAATTATGCTTAAACAAATAACTCTGACAAGTATTAGGAAGTGGGCCGATAGTTTTCAAGCAAGTAAAAATCCTGAAGACCTGGGAAAAGTTGAATATAAGAATTGAAACAAAACACAAAACTAACAATATTCACCTCAGATATATTGAGGCTGACACAGATATATTGCAGCATCTATAATTCATACTGTTGACCCTAATATGACAAAGATAAACTATATTTAATACATTCCTTGTTTCATCATTTAAATTTTCTGTCAGGGATTACTGAAGTGTTATTTTCATGCTTGAAACAGTAAGCACTCAGCTATCTAGAAATCTGAACCTTCTCATAAACTCAGAAATACATACACTCTTATACTTCTGTGTTTAACATAATTGAAATCTTTATTGAAAGTTAAATAAGTTCTGTAGAGAAAGAACATGAATTTGTATAACCTTGCCATTTGTTCTCCTTGTTTTATATTTCAAGTTTATCTATGTATCATCATTTTTTTCTTAATGCTAGAACAACAGGTATTGAACACTACTTTTAAACATACTTTTGAGTGGTTTGAAATATTGGCTTATTGAAATAAAGTCATTAGTGCTATTTGATTTTATGTATTTCTATAGCTAAAATTATAATAAACATTTTACTTTTATTTCTTGAGTCTAAAATGTTGTGAAAAGATCTGTACACTTTTTAATCCATAAAGAATAAATTATAGAGAAAAAATGCACAAGTTTGTGACCTAATTGTTTTAAATTTCATTGGATCTGAATAACTTAGCTAAGTTCTTTAACTTTCCTGAACCTCTTAATTTCCAAGTGGGACTTTGAGAGATTGATTTTTTACATCATGATAATGAAATTTTTACTGAAAATATAGATTTATAGATTACTTTATTGTGATGATTTCTTAAAAGTCAGTTGTGTGGTGTTTAAGAATAGCTACTATTTTCTTAAAAGTTATTTAGTAGCAATTTTGCACTTATTCTAGTAATATGTGTTTTCTAAATTTTTCCCTTGGTTCCATAGTTTTAGACCTCTTCTGAGTTTTAAATCAGTAAGAGATAAACAATAAAGAGAATCTGACAGATTGGTTGAGAAATTATTATTTTTGAATGAAAAGCCCAAAGAAAATGAGGAGTATAACTCATTCTGTAAGATGAATACATCTCTGTTATGTGTTGTT